TCTGCCACAGACTTCCTATGTGCCTTCACAAAAACAACGAGGAGTCCTTGTGGCACCTTAGAAACTAACAAATTTATTTGGGCATAAGCTTTCGTGGGCTAGAACCTACTTCATCAGATGCATGGAGTGGAAAATACAGCCCATCTTTTCATGTGCTGTATATTTATACCTGCCTACTGTATTTTCCACTCCATGCATCTGATGAAGTGGGTTTTAGCCCACGAAAGCTTATGCCCAAATAAATTTGTTAGTCTCTAAGGTGCCACAAGAACTCCTCGTTGTTTTTGCTGATACAGACTAACACGGCTACCCCTCTGAAACCTATGTGCCTTGGGTAAGTCACTTGGCCACTTCGTGCAGCCTCAGCTCCCAAGCTGCACAGTGGGGATAACAGCTGTGCTCTGCCTCACAGGGGTGCTATGAAGATAAATAATTAAACACTGAGAAGTTCTTTGAGATCTACTGGGGAAAAGCACTCTGAGAGCTAGGAATCATTAGAATGCCTGATGATATTATTCTATTAAAAAGTCAATGTCAGACTCAGATGCCATTCATCTGGAGCCTGGAAAAACAGTAAAGATTCCATTGTTATTATTTTCAGAGGAGTAGCTGTGTTAGTCTGTATCAGGAAAAACAATGAGGAGTCCTTGTGGCGCCTTAGAGACTAACAAATTTATTTGGGCATAAGATTTCGTGGGCTATAACCCACTTCATCAGATGCATAGAGTGAAAAATACAGTAGGCAGGAATAAATATACAGCACATGAAAAGATGCAAGTAAAAACAGTGCGGGGGTCAGTGCTAACGAGGCCAATTCCCAACAGTTGACAAGAAGGTGTGAATATCAACAGAGGGAAAATTAGTAGAGGGAAAATTACTTTTTGTAGTGACCCAGCCACTCCCAGTCTTTATTCAGGCCTAAGTTGAAGGTGTCAAGTTTGCAAATTAATTCCAGTTCTGCAGTTTGTCGTTTAAGTCTGTTTTTGAAGTTTTTTTTGTTGAAGAATGGCCACTTTTAAGTCTGTTATTGAGTGTCCAGGGAAATTGAAGTGCTCCTACTGGTTTTTGAATGTTACAATTCTTGATGTCTGATTTGTGTCCATTTATTCTTTTGTGTAGCGACTGTCCAGTTTGGCCAATGTACATCGCAGAGGGGCATTGCTGGCACATATCACATTGGTAGATGTGCAGGTGAAGGAGCCCCTGATGGTGTTTTAGTTGGGGGCTGTATGTGATGGCTCATGTCATGGCGTTCTGTTACTTTCTTTGTTGGGCCTGTCCTGTAGTAGGTGACTTCTGGGTACCCTTCTGTTTCTTCACTTCCCCAGGTTGGTATTGTAGTTTTAAGAATGCTTGATAGAGATCCTGAAGGTATTTGTCTCTGTCTGAGGGATTGGAGCAAATGCAGTTGTATCTTAGGGCTTCGCTGTAGACAATGGATCGTGTGACATGGTCTGGATGAAAGTTGGAGACATGTAGGTATGTATAGCGGTCAGTAGGTTTCCGGTATAGGGTGGTGTTTATGTGACCATCACTTATTTGCACTGTAGTGTCCAGGAAGTGGATCTCTTGTGTGGACTGGTCCAGGCTGAGGTTGATGGTGGGGAGGAAATTGTTGAAATCCTGGTGGAATTCCTCAAGGGCCTCCTTCCCAGGGGTCCAGATGATGAAGATGTCATCAGTGTAGTGCACCTACAGCCCACAACTAAAACCTCTCCAGCGCATCATCAAGGATCTACAACCTATCCTGGAGGCGGATCCCTCACTCTCACAGACCTTGGGAGATAGGCCAGTCCTCGCTTACAGACAGACCCCCAAACTGAAGCAAATACTCACCAGCAACTACACACCACACAACACAAACACTAACCCAGGAACCAATCCCTGCAACAAACCCCATTGCCAACTCTGTCCACATATTTATTCAAGAGACACAATCATAGAACCTAACCATATCAGCCACACCATCAGGGGTTTGTTCACCTGCACATCTACCAATGTGACTCTGCACTTGTCCTTGTTGAACCTCATCAGATTTCTTTTGGCCCAATCCTCTAATATTCATACCTTCTTGTCAACTGTTGGGAATGGGCCAGATCCACCCTGATTGAATTGGCCTCGTTAGCACTGACCCCCCACTTGGTAAGGCAACTCCCATCTTTTCATGTGCTGTATATTTATACCTGCCTACTGTATTTTTCACTCTATGCATCTGATGAAGTGGGTTATAGCCCACAAAATCTTATGCCCAAATAAATGTGTTAGTCTCTAAGGCACCACAAGGACTCCTCGTTGTTATTGTTATTATTTGTATTCTTACTTATTCCTGCAGCACCCAGGAGCCCCAGTCATGGGCCAGGACCCCATTGTGCTAGGCTCTGCACAAGCCCAGAACAAAACAATGGTCCCTGGCCCAGAGGAACACCTAGGGCTTGTTAATTGTGCCTAGCAGCACTGCAGAATGCAACCGAAAAGGCAAGCTATAAAAATCACACTGAAGCCAAAGCCCTGTTTTGTAACATGGTGTAGCATTCAAATAAATCCTTTAATAAAGGACATTCCCTGACACATGGACAATTACACATTAGCTTTTATTCTTCATTGAGATAAAGACACAATAATGAAAATAAAATAGCATCCAAAACTCTAACCATTCCAAATGAAATAGCTGGACTGGACAGCTGGCACCATGCTGAAGGGCTTTTGAGCACCTGCACCAGGATGCAGGCCTGGAGACTGTGTTTGGAGGTGCGGCGTTATTCAGTTGCCTCACCCTGGTAATGAGATCAGAGGGAGCTCTGTAGGACCATCTCAGGCCTCTATAAGTGGAGTGGCTCTTTGAGGTAAGAGAGCTAAAGGGAAAAGATGGGGGATCAAACAAAGCAACTGAGAGAAAGCTTGGGCTACAGGCTGTGGAAAAGTGTGAGTACAGTCCTGTCAGGCATTTGAGACAAGGGTTAAGGTTCTGAAGCAACAATCAAACCAAACTCAAGAGCAGGCCCAGTTTTGCACAGGAGTCAGATCCTTCAGTCTGGCTGACTGGACGAGGGCAAAGTGACAAAGGTGTCTTAAGGTCTCCCCTGATCACAGGGGCACCCTCTTGTCCCTGACACACCTTCTGTGCTGGTATCAGGGGACTCAGGATAGGGTGAGGTAGAGCCAGTTATGCCAGTTGTGCACCAGCCAGGGATTCCCCTCACCTGGGAATTTCCTAGCTCCCTCTTCAGTCAGTTTTCTGGCCTCTTTGCATCACAGGAGCAGTGCAGAGGGTGAAGCGGGTGCTGGGTCTGGCCCATTGTGTGAGGGGAGGAGAGAATGGCATGGGGGCCTGGCACAGACTCACCGAACGGAAAACAAGTTAACTTAAAACAACCTTTTGGTGAAAGGGGAGACATTGTCCAGTAACTCCTTGAATGGTGAGTGCAAAGGGACATAAACTCCAGGCACACTGCTGGACAGAGGGTTCCAGATGTCCAGAATCCATGGGTCCCATTACTTAGGTGGTATAAGTGGGGAGACTGTGCCTACCTATCCCTTAATAGCTCTGAATGTATGCCCTGTCTGGCCTGCGGACATGCCCCTTCCCAAAGACCCGGCTACACCCTGTCTGGCCTGCAGACATGCCCCTTCCCAAAGACCCTGCTATACCCTGTCTGGCCTGTGGGCATGCAACTTCCCAAAGACCCTGCTATGCCCTGTCTGGTCTGCGGGCATGCCCCTTCCCAAAGACCTGGCTATACCCTGTCTGGCCTGCAGGCATGCCCCTTCCCAAAGACCCTGCTATACCCTGTCTGGCCTGCAGACATGCCGCTTCTCAAAGACCCTGCTATACCCTGTCTGGCCTGTGGATATGCCCCTTCCCAAAGACCCTGCTATGCCCTGTCTGGCCTGCGGGCATGCCCCTTCCCAAAGACCCTGCTATGCCCTGTCTGGCCTGCGGAGATGCCCCTTCTCAAAGACCCGGCTATACTACATCAGAGCTGCTGGTATGTCTCAGCTTTTCCATAGGTCCTTTCCCACTGGCATGGTACCAAGCACAGTAAGCAGGTATTTAGTCTGAAAAAACAAGTGAAAACCACAAGCTTACTTGTTCAGCTAACTTAAGAAAGTCGAACCCTGGGGATGTGTACAGAAATGTACACCACAGAATTCTGGTTTTTCAATTTGTTTCCTGTCCCTAGTCCTCTGATGCTAAACATGCTGGTTTGCCCCTACACTAACTTTAGCTGTTTTTCTGTAAATTCTCTAATTTCATAATCTATGCTTATAAGGTTTGCCTGTGGAGACCATTAGCTTTGTATCTAATAACTCAGCAATAATTGAGAGCTGTATGGGATCATGGCAATGCATTCAGAAAAGAAAAGTTATTTCAGTTAGTAACTTTTCTGTACTGTGTTTACAAAATCCTTTTGGACCTTCATTATACATCATAAAAAAGAAAAAGGCAACCAGCCCAATATTTTTCTTTTGCAAGTCTGTGTTAAAGACAACATATAGTTAGATCAGTTAGGTTCTTCTTTTTGTTCTGTTTGTTCATCACTATGGCTTCTATGCACTGCTGCAATGCAACTAATAAATAATAGAAATATTTTAATCAAATAATAGTAAGAAAAGCTACCTGCTGAATGTATGGAGTTTTGTCAATAATGTTGTTTCCGATTACATTTTTCAATGAGAAATTTCTAAAGGAAACGAAAACATTTGCTTTGTTTCCAATTGCATTTTTCAGTTCAGTTTTTAAAAAATCAAAATGAAAGCTTTGATTCGAACTGAAAATTAATGCTTCACACCATTTTTTAAAAAAAATTCAAATGGAAAATTTTGAACAAAAAAATTTCAACTGAAATTTTAGTTGGGTGAAAAAATAGTTTCCCATGCAACTCTAGAATAAACACACACCCACAAATGTGTTGCCGGGGGTGGTTGTGTATTGCACAATATGTAATACAATGGAAGGAATGAAATACTGGGATTTTGTTCAATCATGTTTTTGTCTGTAGTATACTGCCCAACAACATGGCTTGCTGCCTCTGCCAGATGAAAGAGAATATTGAAATTCTGTGTAAGACAATCAAGTTACACTGTGAACATTTGTGTGCCACCAACTCCTCCCTGTGCGGTAGGTTTGCAGTTAACATATATCATTTTGAACATAGACACCTTAAATCTGACCATTACTCCATTAGCTGTGAAAGATTCTGTATAGGAACGGTTCAGTTGGTCCTCCACTCCCAGCACTAGGGTGACCAGATGTCCCGATTTTATAGGGACGGTCCCGATATTTGGGGCTTTTTTTTATATGGGCTCCTATTACCCTCCACCCACTGTCCCGATTTTTCACACTTGCTATCTGGTCATCCTCCCCAGCACTCAGCACTTCACAGGACTGAGCTCGTAGGACTGTGCACAGTACTGGTCACTCCATCTCACAAATGATATTGCAGAATTCGAGGGGGTTCAGAACAGTGTGATGAGAATGATCAATGGCCTGTGAAAACTCTTGCATGAAGACTGAAAAGATGAAGATTTCTTATCTTAGAAAGGAGATAAGAGGGGACATGATAAGATTCTATAACATAATGACTGGTCTAGAGAAGGGAGATCAGGAGCGTCTGTTTTCCCTGTGTCATAACACAAGAACAAGGGGCATTCAATGAGGTAAAAAGTGGCAAATACAAAATGGAAAAAAGGAAATACTTTTTCACACAATACATGGTTAGACTATGGAACTCACTGCCTCATGAAGTTGAGGCCAAGAACGGTAGCAAGATTCAAAAAGGAACTGTTTCAGAGTAGCAGCTGTGATAGTCTGTATCCACAAAAAGAACAGGAGTACTTGTGGCACCTTAGAGACTAACAAATTTATTTGAACATAAGCTTTTGTAGGCTACAGCCCACTTCTTCAGATGCATAGAATGGAACATATATTGAGGAGATATATATACACATACAGAGAGCATGAAAAGGTGGGAGTTGTCTTACCAACTCTGAGAGGCCAATTAAGTAAGAGAAAAAAACTTTTGAAGTGATAATCAAGATAGCCCAGTACAGACAGTTTGGTAAGAAGTGTGAGAATACTTACAAGGGGAGATAGATTCAATGTTTGTAATGGCTCAGCCATTCCCAGTCTCTATTCAAGCCTAAGTTGATTGTATCTAATTTGCATATCAATTCAAGCTCAGCAGTTTCTCATTGGAGTCTGTTTTTGAAGCTTTTCTGTTGCAAAATTGCCACCCGCAGATCTGTTATTGAGGACCAGACAGGTTGAAGTGTTCTCCGACTGGTTTTTGAATGTTATGATTCCTGATGTCAGATTTGTGTCCATTAATTCTTTTGCGGAGAGACTGTCCGGTTTGGCCAATGTACATGGCAGAGGGGCATTGCTGGCACATGATGGCATAGATCCCATTGGTAGATGTGCAGGTGAACGAGCCCCTGATGGCATGGCTGATGTGATTAGGTCCTATGATAATAGGAACTGGACATTTCTATGGATAGCAGAATATTCAGAGTTAGAATACTTACTGATAAACATTTGGGAGGGATATTAAACCTCATGATAGGTGTTTAAGCCAATCTCTAACTATTAGGTTAGGGCTTGTCTACACATGGAATTATTCAAGTGCTATTCCTGATTAACTCCACATGTGGACACTGTTCTACCTCTGTGCCAATTCCAGGGGCACCCCTGCTGGTGTAAGACCAAGGCAACCTCAGGATTGGCTGGTTTAGTGCCCTATCAGTGTGAGCCATTTAAACTCCCTGAAAGTCAGCTGAGCAAACAGCCCCAACATACACCAGCAGCTGGCACCCAAGAAGACTTTGAACTAACCCCCCTCCCCCCCACACACAGAGAAAGAGAGAGAGAGAGAGAGAGCATGGAGAAATGTGGAGCTTTTCGTGCTGGAGAATGAGTTTGAGGAAATTAAGGCTGAAAAGTGATTTGGAATTAAGACTTTAGTAGGTGTCAAATATCATCTTGGGAAAACTGGCTTGTTCGGTTAATTATCTATGGCTGGTTCCATCCAGCATGGTGTTTCCTTTGGCACTGGTATCTGCATGCTGATGCGATGCAATTGCATGTGCTGAGTTGCATACCACAGTCTCAGTCATGCACCTCCCTTGTAAAATATGAGCCTCAGAACTGACAAGAGATGCCATGAATTCTTGTACTCTTAGTCAGGCTGTTCACCCTCCCACCATTACCTAGGGCCAGAAATCACAGAGGTGAGCAAGGAAATATCAGTTGTGCCATTGAGGCCTTTTCTCTATCGCTCTATATTGTACTAGTTCTACAGTTGCATCTAGTCTACAGTTTTAAATGTCCTGAACAAATAGAGGAAGCCACAGCCTGATTGGTCTCTGTTACATGATCACAGGTTGTTCTCAGAGTGCCCCTGTCTCACACAGGGTGAAATGCAGCACCAGGCCCGCTGCATGCACCACTTTGGTTTGATGTATGGCATGAACAGTGTTCCCCACTAGCTAGAGCACTGGAATGGGACTTGGGCAACCTGGGTCATATTCCCAGCTCTGCCACTGACCTGGTGGATGACCTTGGAAAAGTCACTTCCCTGCTCTGTGCCTCAGTTTCCCTACCTGTAAAATGGGGATAACAATGTTGACCTTTGTAAAGCGCACTGAAATCTGCTGATAAAAAGTGCTATAAAGAGCTAAGGATTATTAATAAGGAAGGCTATGTTTTAGTTTTGGGTATTTTTAGTAAAAGTCATGGACAGGTCCTGGGCAGTAAACAAAAAATCACGGCCCGTGACCTATACATGACTTGTACTATACCCCTAAAACTTGGTACAGGGGGGCCGCAGGTGCTCTGGGGGGGGTGGCCTGGGACCCCCACTGCTGCTGGGGGGGAGGATTGGGGGGGACTGGCAGGCTCCCTATGCAGTTCTGCGTGTCCCTGTAGCTCCTATGGGGAGGGAAGGCCAGGGGGCTCTGCATGCTTCCCCTGCAACGAGCTCTGGCTCCGCAGCTCCCATTGGCTGGGAACTGCAGCCAATGGGAGCTGCAGGGGTGGTGCCTGTGGGTGGGGGCAGTGCACAGGGCTCCTTGGCCCCACTGCCTAGGAGCTGAAGGGACACGCCAGCCGCTTCCAGGGAGCCACCCCCCTCCCCAAGATAAGCGCCACCCCACACCTCAACCCACTGCCCCAGCCCTGAGCCCCTTCTGCTCATTCAGCCCTGGGGCCAGCCACACCCGCCGCTGCAGAAGTCACGGAGGTCACAGAAATTCACAGAATCCATGACTTTCTGTGACCTCCGTGACAGATTTGCAGCCTTATTAATAAGCTCTATTCTGAGAGTTTACATGGTCCATAGTCCTTGATGACTCCCTGTATCCTACATGAGGCAGGAGCACCGTGAAAAGGAGCACAGGCAGGAGCCAATTATCATGGACTAAGAGGTGGGGTAACATTTCCAACTCATTAGGAGTCTAAATCCCATTTTCATAAGTGACAGACACTGAGGGGTGTAAATCTCATTGAAAGTCAATGGAACTCTTAGACTCCTAAGTCGCTTAGGCACTTTTGAAACTGTTACCTTGTATCTGTAATTAGACTGTATATGCAACTGGGGGGAGAGCTATGGTTGTGTGGGCAGCACTGATTTAAGAATCTCTTGACTCTCAAGTGCTTCCTTAACTCTACAGTCTCAGCATTTTCTTCACATAGGCCTTCAAGTCTGGGGAGCTGCCGGGATGCTGGTTGCACTGCCCTGACTCAGGGCCCCCTCAGTCCTGCGCAGGCGCAGCCCTAATTTATGCCTGGGGAGGACTGGTCATGTTGAAGTCTCCTCTGCCACACCCTCTCCCCTCTTGCACCCCGAATGCCCACTCCTTCCACTTCTACTGGGAGTGGGGGCCACAGACCTGCCTCGGCTAGCTGAACACCAGCAGAGAGTCTGCCTGCATTGGGGAGTTCTCAGCTGTATGACTGTCGTTTTCCATATAGAATGTTCTATTGGTAGTGACTGCTCAAGTTAGGATAATAGAGTGGTGACCAATATTTCATCCTCATTCAGCTGGTCTGATTCCAGGCTTTGTCTTGCTTTACAGGATTTGCGTTTTTTGGTTGGTTTTTAATTTGAGTTCATTTTATTCAGCTGATTCTGAGTTTGGCAAGAGTGAAAAAATATACTTACACTTAGCTAAGGGTGTCACAAAGGGCAATGAGATGTAGCCATGGAAGAGAAACAACCAGAGAGTGAGATTCTTAGACTGTGGAAAACTCTCCCAAGGAAAGCTTGGTCAATTGGACATTTAAAACTAATGGGGGAAGAGCCCTTTATATATCCTCTGGCTCCAAAAGAGGGACTGGTTGTTCTAACAAGTCTTTCCCCCTCTCTATCTTCTCTACTCTACATTTCAAAAGGGGTTTCTCTTTAGCACACATTTCCACTGGGTTGTTACACTGTAAGGTAACCCTGTGACCCCATATTTTTGAAGCAATCTCTTCTTGACATAGAGAGATACAAATTTGCTCTCTTGTTTTTTGAACAGTTCACGGAGAACCTTTAGAAAAGATGCAAGAGGAATTAATGAAAGTGTTACAGTCCAGGAAACTGAATGCCAGCATCGTGTTAAATCTTGAGCCTGAGGAACCTTTACTCACCAACAGTGAGAATGAAATCACGATGTTTGCAGATAGCCAGTATCAACCTAAGTTTGATATGGATCTTAATAAGTCCGGAGATCTTCTTCCTGGAGTAAATTACCTTTTCTTTAAACACCTGACCAAGAAGGGAGAAATAAACAATGTAGGACTGACAGTCTTGCCATTTTTTAAACTGTTTAATTTTAATTTACACAAAGGAAAAGTTACCCCAGGCCTTTTCAAACTTCCTGCCGCTCAATCCAATATGCTGGCATTGACTGACTTTCAGCACGTGGACTGGGCCAATGAAAGTGAATTGAGGAAACTCTATATTTTGGCGAACTTGATAGCAACAGAGCTTCAAGAAAAATTATACAATTCTGAAAATGGCAATGGTGCAAACAAGATGAAATCTGTGCTCAAGTCATTCCTGACAACTCCTGCCATGCACAAAAGCCAAGCACGCAGAACTGAGGGGCAAATTCCAGCAGTGCCCGGACATCTGAGAGAACATTTGAAAGCCGGAGGGATTTGTAGGGAACTTGCAGAGCAATGCGACGAGGTTTTATCCAGAAACACGCATGGAAGGAAGAAAACTCCAGAGAGAACAAAGGAATGTGTGGATTATAGGATGAAATGTACAAGGGAAGGGAAGGAAAAACAATCAAAAAAGATGAAAAGAGAGACCCTGCAAGCTAAAGAAGAGAGAAGCAAAGGAACAGTTTGCTGTTCTGGCAGAAAAAGAAGAGAAACTAAGAAGGCATTTAAGAGTCAGGTGCAAAAGCGAAGTGACTTAGATTTGCACCGTGTGGCACAAAGCAGGAAGAAAGTGGCTAGGAGTTTAAATCCCTCTAGCACAGTTTCTGTCTTCAGACATCACAAAATATCCATTCCCTCCTCCCGGAGACGTTCCCTTCCACACTTGCCCACACAGGCCTCTCACTTGACTGTCTCATTTAAGGTTGAAAACAATTCTGATGACTTAACAGGTAAAATCATTATTTTCTTGGAACATGCCAATAAAACTGGTAGGAAGAAAGATCTGGACACTCTAAAGGCAAAGTATGCACCCCTTAGAAAACCTAAAAAAGTTCTTATTTTCAGAAAACATGGCCAGAAAGGGAGCCCACATTTCAGTAGAAATAATCATCTTTTCCAGAAGACATTTCATCGAGTGAATTCAGATGTAAGCCACATGCTAGTGGAAAGAAAACAAAAGCACAGGATGAATAGTAAAGAAGGTGTGATCAATAGGTTATCACATAGAAAGAGTGCTGCTTTGACTGATGCTGTCTTGGAGAACCCATCAGAAAACAATGACTCTTCACTGGATGATATCTTACCCAGCATACACCAAGCCAATGAAACACACTGGAAGCATCAAAAAGAGAGCTCTGGTTTTCCATATGCACTTAGTGGGTCATCATCCCCAGATAATTACTCTGTTCAAGGAGACCTGTTTGAAGCTGAGCTGAATAATCGATTGCGCTCCCTCATCCCAAACCAAGCTGTGAGAAACCTTATCTCCCATGTGATCCGAACCCTGAAAATGGACTGCACTGAGCCCAGGGTGCAGCTGGCCTGTGCGAAGCTCATCTCCAAGACAGGCCTGCTCATGAAACTGTTCAGCGAGAGAGAAGATATCAAAGAAACCTCCTCTTTGTGGCGAACGTACCTCTGGGAAAACGGGAACGCGCCCAACGAGAGCACCCACCAGAGGAAAGCCAGCAAGAAAGATTCAGAGGAGGTAAGCACCACATGATACATTGGAAATGAGCAATAGAAAAGTCAGAAGTAACTATCATTCCCATTCTGTTTGAATGTCTTTCTGTTTCATAGTTATCCCCGGAGCCTCCCCAATACAGCCACGGCAACAAGCTGCTGCTGGCGATATCGGTGACGGTGGTAATAATGATTATTATTGCAGTGATTTGTCTCACTGAGGTAAGCCAAAAAAATCCATTTGTTGCATGGCCATTGTTCCAGTCGTCCTCGCAGCACTGTGTAGGAGTATGCCTTCAAACAGTGTATGAGCCTCCGTGTTTTAGAAACTGCCAGAAACCAACCAGAGCACTCATATGACGGTAGTTATGCCTTGCCTGCTGGCAGGGCCGGCGCAACCCATTAGGCGACCTAGGGCGCTACAACTGGGGCGGGCGGTGACCGTGGCGGTATTTCGGCAGCAGGACCTTCCGCCGCCTCTGTGGGGGGCAGCATTTCGGGGCGGGACCTTCTGCCACCTAGGGCGGCAGAAAAGCTGGCGGCACTCCTGCCTGCTGGGGTCTGTCTGTGTGGCAGTCAGGAGATGTGGCTGCAGCCACAGGTGCTGACTTTTATTTTTCCGGTGTTCCACCCCCACTCCGCCCCTCCCCCCGAGGCCCTGCCCTCACTCTGCCTCTTTCTGCCCCTGCTCCAACCCCTCCCTAAGGCCCTACCTTCACTCTTAGGGTTACCATACGTCTGGTTTTTCCCGGACATGTCCGGCTTTTCGGCACTCAAACCCCCGTCTGGGGGGAATTGCCAAAAAGCCGAACATGTCCGGGAAAATGCCGGCCGGGCACTTACCCTCCCACGGCGGCTCTGCTCCTCCCCCGACTCTTCGGCTCTGTTTAAGAGCCGAGCTGCCTGAGCGCTATGGGCTTCAGGCAGCCCCCATGCCTCTGGACCCCAGCCGCCGGCCGGGCACTTACCCTCCCACGGCGGCTCTGCTCCTCCCCCGACTCTTCGGCTCTGTTTAAGAGCCGAGCTG